CTAAAGTTTGACTCATTCTCGGTGTCTCAGGTAATGGAAATGATGATCAATTCATGTTTAGAAGAAGAAAAATCCATTAAACCCCCGCTGCTCGTTTCTGCTCACGGAGAGTAATTACCTTTCCAACTTACATGTCCCGTGGTGTGTTTATGAAAAGATTAGGTGAATGGATTAAATGAACTGGAAGGCGCTGCAATGGGATACCTCTCCTTTGTCAGCGTCCACACGTTGTATTGCAGAGTCCCTCAGACTGAAAAGTAAACACAAATATCAGCACATACTGACAACCTCGTCTCGTGTTCTTGTGAATTATAGTGTAACAGACAAAGCACTGAGTGATGAGGAGGACCCCCCTCCAACAAGCCTTTGTGTTGAAAGGTGGATCTTTTTATCTTGTTCAGGAAGAAACGTCAGACAAATTGGACACAAATCTAGTCGTTAGCCTTCAAAGCTTCCTCAACACTGGTTCTTCTGGTACTCAAAGCAAGTATGAAATCCAAATGAGTGTTCTGATCAAGATCCTATTAAGAGTTTTTTTTCTATATTCATGCATATTCATTTTTGACTGAAATCTGCAAAATTATTCCTGTTGGACACGAGCAGGAGAGCAGAATTTTTCTTTCTGTAAAAATGTTTATTAATCATATAATTCACATCCATATCTAATTGCTTTTTTGTATTGAGCTGAAGTTCCAATTACCAGTATGGGGATTAGATGCTAAATATTAATGAACAAATGGCGTATTGTTCCTCTGCTTTCAGAGCAGGTTGATTATGAGGTTAGCGTTGTCACGGTTAGTTAGCTCACAGAGGCAGTGGCTTAATGTGCTCGCTTTTTTGTTTTTACAGCAACTGTTAAAAATGAGGGAAGAATTAAAACAGCGGGAGGCCGAGCTGGAGAAGAGTTTGGAGGAAAAACAACAGCTGAAGAATCAAGTGCAGAACCTGAAGGAAGGTCTCCAGAATCTGCAAAACGCACACGTGATGCAGGTAGGTGTGACAGACGTGCACGCTTTCACATGTGAGCGTTGCCATGGTGCATTTCATAGCAGAGGGAGTTTATTTGTTTGTTAGAACAGTTATTATTCTGCACTTTAATGGGAAAGAAATTAGTCCGAGGCCTTCGAGAAGTTTCAGTGCACAAAAGAAATTAAAGATGTAAATCATAAATAAATAAACAGAGAGGAATGG